TGTCAGACGACCCCCAAACACTGAATTCAAGCCACAGTACACTGTGAAGACAGTGAAGCATGGTTGCGCAAGCATCATGATATGGGGATGTTTCTCATACTACGGTGTTGGGCCTATTTATCGCATACCAGGGATCATGGATCAGTTTGAATACATCAGAATACTTGAAGAGGTCATGCTGCCTTATGCTGAAGAGGAAATGCCCTTGAAATGGGTGTTCCAACAAGACAACGACCCCAAACACACCACTAAACGTGCAACATCTTGGTTCCAGACCAACAAGATTGACGTTATGGAGTGGCCAGCCCAATCCCCGGATCTTAATCCAATAGAAAACTTGTGGGGTGACATCAAAAATGCAGTTTCTGAGGCAAAACCAAGAAATAGAGAAGAACTGTGGAATGTAGTCCAATCATCCTGAGCTGGAATGCTCACACTAACACTGTCTGCCATCTTGACTAATCATCTCTGGAGTGGCCTGCAACATGTGCGCTGCATATCAGTAATAGGACACATTGCCACTTACTACTGCGTGTATTACCACCATGCTAGCATCCCTTTTTATACCTGTAAAATTAAAAGTCTCAGTTTCGCTTGAATGCCCCGTGTGTGTGTGTATGCATATATATATATAAATATATATCGATGCACATACCTGTGGCAAACTTGCTCTTCCTTGTTGGAGCGGAGTCCCCCTTTACACTCTCTTTTTCGTGTTCTGTCTGTTTATCTGAGGCATTCCTCAAATCATTCCTCACATCCCCCCTGCATTCCTGTGAGGCAAATGTTATCTCCTGGCAGATGGGGTGGAACAACCAGGTTAAGACATCCTGCGTCCAGAGGCCAGCTGTCCATAAAGGCTGTAAAGTGTACTTCTTCCCCCATCTTACTCAAGATAAGTAATTGCACAGTCCTCGGGTCAACTGTATGGTTCATATCATGGGATATGAAGCTGGTAGTTTAGTTTAGAGTTCCCCAATGACCACTCCCAAAACGTGTAGTCCGAGCCCCCCACTCCCCTTTTTGAGAGGGAGTTGTAAGAGAGACAAGTGAGACACACACACAGACAGAGATCTCTGTGTGATCTAGGTAACATCGTAACAGAGGAGATCAAAGAACCTTTCTGCTCTCAACTTGGATTTGCAAACCCAGGCATATGGGCAAGTAACTTAACCCTGTAATCTTCTTCCTAATTATCTCTTTGCTGTGTCTTTATATACATATATATATATTTTTTGTGATATCTCTTTGTAAATATTCATATTCATCTGTCTGACGCTTTTAGTAATAAATCTTTCTTTCTGAAAGTGTTAAACGGTTTCTAAGCGCTTACTTGCAATTCACGAATCCCTGCCTTTGAAGAGACGCTACTGTTTGTTATATCTCTGTATAGCAGGTCTGCGGGCCGTGCGATATAGATCAATATTTCAATCATTATAGTGTATATTTTATAACGGGAGTTTCCCAGTCTCCGACAAAAGTGGTGGTGGCAGTAGAGGGTTAGTTGCGTAATTAACCCGACCCAGTAACAAGCGCATTTAGGCTGCAGGCACAGATTGTAGACCATTAGCTGGGCAATAGCTGTGCTGGGTGCGTCTGAGTGTGGCCTTGTTACGCGCGTCACACCGCGGTTTTAGATCAGCCGGTCCTTTGGTCACGAGTTTGGTGAGAAGGTCTGGGGTCTGACGCCGTGGGCGTGACGTATTACTGTTAGTCGCAGCTGTGCGATTGTCGCCTGTTGGTGGCGGCGACCGCGGGGTCGTGACAATACCCACCCGCCTATATTGTACAGTGTATGGAAGTAAACTGCACTCCGTAGTGTGATCATACAGATAAGTATCCTGCCTTGAACACAAGAATGTAGCAGTGGTGGCTAATTTCATGGAAAGGAAAAGGGAACTAACAGTACGGGTAACCCATGTTCCATGTGTATTTCCTGCACTGTGTTCAAAATGTATTGGGCGTACAATCTGCTGCAGGTGTCAGTGTGTTCCTAACGACACCCCACGTATTGGGGGGGTTATTTACTAAAACTGGAAAGTGGCACAGTTCTGCATAGTAACCAGTCAGCTTCCAGGCTTTATTGCCAAAGCCTAACTGAACAAGCTAAAGTTAGAAGCTGATTGGCTACCATGCAAAGCTGCATCAGTTTCTGAGTGCATCAGCTTTAGTAAATCTACCCCATTGTGTTTGCCTGCACCAGATTATGCTGCAGTACCATGAGATCTGATGGCAATGTGTTTTTTAAAAGTTGTGCATGCACTACTTTTGATGCAGTTCAGTGCGATTTCATCCCCGTTCAAATGAATGTGCTGAAAATAGCATCACACTGAACTGCAGAGGAATCAGGTTGAACCGGCCCTTAAAGAGAAAAAAATAGGCATTAGGGAATGGACAGAAAAGCATAGGATAAGGCAGAGCCGTGGTAGGTACAAATCCAGAAGATGCTCTCTTATGTTCTTATAAGTGGGGAAGTCAGTGCTCAAAGCTAGGTGGTAGAAAATGTGTCACCTGTGGAGCCATATTTGATCAAATTTCAACATAGTATTGTTCAGGTTCTTCATTTCTTTACCATAGTCCATGCAATACAATCCCATCCTTTTAGTGTGCCCGGGAGGGCACAGGTGCAGCATCCAGCCCCATTGCATGCATTCTATGACAGATTTAAATACACCAAAATTTGACGGGGCAGAATTCTATACAGAGTATAGTACTCATCAGGGCCTAAAGTGTTCAGGGATAAATACCCGATATGCAGAATACCAACCCTGCAAGTTCCACGTGTATAGCATTCATTCCTTTCTAGCTGCAGTGTATTTCAGCCTGTCATAGAATTTGACAGGCTGCAGGCAGCAGGGCTAGACACCACATCTGTACTGGGCACATTAAAATGCCAGGATTGGACGTACAGGGGCTGGCACCCTAGGTGCCAGGTCCCTTATTGTGCAGGTTATGTATGTTACAATGGGGATTCTATGTATAGTATTTCAAGTGCCATTACGCTTCATTTCAATTTAATTAGCATTCCCTCAGAAATGACAAAAAAGCCAGTGAATACAAATTGCACTGTTTCTGCTGAATTTTAGTCTCTGACTTCCAGGTGACTTCTCAGTTCTCTGGAAAATCAGCTGAAATGTGCAGACTGGGAGCTCCGTCACGCCGGGCTCCTCCGCTTACAAAGATAATTATGTAAAAATGCAATGTGTAGAATTTATCGTGTTGCGGGAATCAGTTTTTGGAAGGTAACTTTATGGAGTGTTGAAGGGACTTTTTTGTTACGCCTAATAAAACCAGGCTTAAAGATGAGGTTAACCTCTTGGGGGAGCAGAAATCTCTCAGGTAGATGGAATGTCAGAAGAGCATTTGGCAACAAAGTGCTTGATATAGGAATAGAGAATTTCACACCAACATCTACGGGTATAATATGGTTTCTACATGTCAGCCCACCTACTTCCTAAGCCTTATATACACTACTCAAAAAAATTAAAGGAACATTTTGAAAATACATCAGATATCAATGGGGAAAAATATCATGCTGGATAGCTATACTAATATGGACTGGGTAATGTGTTAGGAACGTAAAGATGTCCTATTGTTTGATGGAAATGAAAATTATCAACCTACAGAGGACTAAATTAAAAGACAACCCAAAAATCAAAGTGAAAAAATGATGCAGCAACTGAATGAAATTTAATTTCAGCAACTCAGTAATTTGTATGATCCCCATGTGCTTGAATGCATGCCTGACAACGTCGGGGCATGCTCTTAATGAAATGACGGATGGTGTTCTGGGGTATTTCCTCCCAGATCTGGACAAGGGCATCACAGAGCTCGTGGACAGTCTGAGGTTCATCCTGGTAGTGTTGGATGGACTGAAACATGATATGCCAGAGGTGATCTATTGGATTTAGGTCAGGCAAGCGTGGGGGTCATTCAATGGTATCAATTCCTTTATCCTCCAGGAACTGCCTGCATACTCTCGCCACATGAGGCCGGGCATTGTTGTTCACCAGGAGGAACCCAGGACCCACTGCATCAGTGTAGGGTCTGACAGTGGGTCCAAGGATTTCATCCTGATACCTAAGGGTAGTCAGGGTGCCATTGTCTAGCCTGTAGAGGTCTGTGTGTCTCTCCATGGATATGCCTCCCCAGACCGTCACTGACCTACCACCAAAACGGTCTTGCTGAACGATGTTACAGGCATCTTAACATTCTCCACAGCTTCTCCAGACCCTTTTACGTCTGTCACATGTGCTCAGGGGGCACCTGCTCTCATCTGTGAAAAGCACAGGGCGCCAGCGGAGGCCCTACCAATTCTGGTATTCAATTGCAAATGCCAATCAAGCTATATGGTGCCAAGAAGTGAGCACAGAGCCCAATAAGGATGCCAGTGGTGGACCTGCCAATTCTGGTGTTCAATGACAAATGCCAATCAAGCTCTATGGTGTCGGGCAGTGATCACAGGGCCTACTAGAGGACGTTGGGCTCTCATGCCACCCTCATGAAGTCGGTTTCTGATTGTTTGGTCAGAGCCATTCACACCAGTGCCCTGCTGGAGGTAATTTTGCAGGGCTCTGGCAGTGTTCATCCTGTTCATTCTTGCACAAAGGAGCAGATACCGGTCCTGCTGATGGGTTAACCACTGACCTACCACTTATACCCTCTTCCTGCCCAGGCCAATTTTCAGCTTTCAGCGCCATCGCACTTTGAATGACAATTGCACGGTCATGCAACACTGTAGCCATATGTAAATTTTTATCATTTTTTTGAGACAGATAGAGCTTTCTTTTGGTGGTATTTAATCACCTCTGGGTTTTTTTATTTTTTGCTAAACAAACCAAAAGCCACTGAAAATTTTTAACAAAAAGTTTTTTCTTAGTTTTTGTTGTAAAATTTTGTAAGTAAGTGATTTTTCTCCTTCACTGATGTGCGCTAATGAGGCTGCAGTGATGGGCACTGATAGGCTGCACTGATGGACACTGATAGGTGGCACTGATGGACACTGATGAGGAGGCACTGGTAGATGGCACTGATGGGCATTGACAGGCATCACTGAAAGGCAGCACTCATATATGGCACTGATGGGCAGCACTGACTGGCACTGATAGGCTGTACTGACTGGCACTGTTGGGTGGCACTGACTGGCACTGTTAGGCGGCACTGATAGGCAGCACTGACGGGCACTGACTGGCACTGGTAGGCGGCACTGACTGGCACTGATAGGCGGCACTGACTGGCACTGATAGGCGGCACTGACTGGCACTGATTGACAGCACTGATAAGTAGCACTGACTGGCATTGATAGGTGGCACTGACTGGCACTGATAGGTGACACTGAAAGGTAACTCAGATGGGCACTGATATGTGGCATTGATGTGCACTGGTAGGCACTGATATGTGGCATTGATGGGCACTGGCAGGTGGCATTGATGAGCACTGACAGCTGGCAATGATGGACACTGACAGGTGGCACTGCTGGGGCTACACTGATCATCAATGCCCTAATGATCAGTGTACATGTCCCCTCCGAGGAATGCCAATTACCAGCTCTCCTCTTGAGCTGTCAGCATGACAGCTCGTGAGGAGAGAAAATGCCGATAACCGGCATTTTCCTATTTACATATGATCAGCTGTGATTGCACACAGCTGATCACAAGACTGAGCCGACATCTTTGGCTCTTTCCGTCAATCAGTGATCCGCTGTGTCCGAGGGACACAGCGCACTACCGATCGCCTCGCTGCACTCTCCCGGAGTCGCGCATGCGCGGTTAGAATGGGAGGACATCATATGACATCCTCCCAGAACGAGAGAACCGCCTTGCGCCCGTCATTACCTTATATGGCAGGAAAGAGGCGATTAAAGACCTTCTGCAGCCCTGTCCAGCTCTCTTAGTGTAATTGCCTGTCTCCTGGAATCTCCTCTATGCTCTGGAGACTGCTGGGAGACACAGCAAACCTTCTGGCAATGGCACGTATTGATGTGCCATCCTGGAGGAGTTGGACTGCCTGTGCAACCTCTGTAGGATCCAGGTATCGCCTCATGCTACCAGTAGTGTCACTGACCCTAGCCAAATGCAAAACTATGGAAAAACAGTCAGAAAAGATGATTAGGGGAAAAAATGTCAGTGGCCTCCACCTGTAAAACCATTCCTGTTTTGGGGATCGTCTCATTGTTGACCATCTAGTGCACCTGTTGTTAATTTCAATAACACCAAAGCAGTTGAAACTGATTAACAACGCCCTCTGCAATTTAACGGACCAGATCAATATCCCAGGAGTTTAATTGACTTGATGCTGTTCTCTGATTAAAAAGTGTTCCTTTATTTTTTTTGAGCAGTGTATTAGAACCAAATAAACAGAAAACGTACTATATGGTATAATAAAAGGGTGAAGAAACACATTTAAAGGGTCTATTTATAAATACTTTTTCTCAAGATTTACACAACTTTTACCCAAGAATCACACACAAATTTCTAATTGGATTTAATTTGAAAAATGCATGCTTTATGTGTGAATCTTGTGTGAAAACATTCATACTTAATATAAATTAAACTACTCTATAGCCCCCAAGAACAGCATTTCCCCAGGCAAAGTATTTTTTTCCTAAACCCCTATTTTTATTTTATTCATCCCAGCAAGGCTTTTAATACAACTTTATGGCCTCAGGCAGCTGCTTCCATGTAGTGAATTTCTGGGTCTGGAATTCTTCTCTAACTTTGCAGCTATTTAAAACATTTAACTGTGATGTCAAGTTAGTCCACCTAAAGCCAATATTTCAGATTTTACTGACACTATCTTTAAATATCATTAGCCAGTTGTAGACGTGGGTGATGCTATACTGTACATGCTCAAAAAACTTCACTGACACTTTGTCCTTCTGTGCTGCTGCTGCCCTCCCTGTATTTGCTGGCAATTGCCAGCTCTCAAAATGACAGCCAGGAGTTGTGTAAATACAGCAGCTATTTCAGCTATTGCTGTCAAACAATGGATCTTCCTTCACAGTGTTTAAAAACACTGTTCAGACAGGGGATAGCGAGATGAAAGCAACATTCATACGTGGATCAAAAGCATGAGTTTCACTCTGCATATGATGTCAGTTAAGGGAACCTGATAAGCAGAAAAAAAACAAGTTGTTTTTTAAATAAAATGTGTTTCCATTTAACTGCTTATTATCCATACGTTTACCCTAATCCGTCCTAATTAGTTCCTTCTTCTCGTTCTTCCCTTAGCTGTTTTCTTCTTGATGATTTATTTTTGTTTATTTATGTGTGATCAAAGTAGAAAAATATGTCCTTTTTTATTTTTGCTGTATTTTCTGGATTGCATTAAAATTAAAATAATTAATAAGAAACTGTCACCAAGAGACAGCTTTCTTTGTTCTAAAAAAAATATATATATAGTTGTGCTCAATAGTTTGCATACCCTGGCAGGAAATTTTGGCCATGATATTGAAAATATGACTGATTATGCCAAAAAATTACAGATGGTGGTAATGTGAAGCCATTTATTATCACATAGTTGTTTGGCTCCTTTTTAAATCCTAATGATAACAGAAATCACCCAAATGGCCCTGATCAAAAGTTTACATACCCTGGAATGTTTGGCCTTGGTACAGACACACAAGGTGACACACACGGGTTAAAATGGCAATTAAAGGTTGATTTCCCACATCTATGTTTTTTTAAATTGCAGTTAGTGTCTGTGTATAAATAGTCATTGAGTTTGTCAGCTCTCGCATAGATGCACTGAGCAGGCAAGATACTGAGTCATGGGGAGCAGAAAAGAGCTATCAAAAGACCTGTGTGACAAGGTAATGGAACTTTCTAAAGGTGGAAAAGGATATAAAAAGATATGCAAAGCCTTGAATATACCACTCAGTACTATTCAATCATTTGTTAGTAAGTGGAAAATTTGGAGATCTCTTGATACCAAGCCAAGGTCAGGTAGACCAAGAAATTACAGTGTAGAAATGGCAAACCTAGATACTCCTGCGCTTAGGGATGGACTTTGTATGGATAGGACCACATCAAGAATTTCTTGGGATATGCATGCTGTCCTCAAATGACCCGGGAAGTCCAAATGTACTGAGTAGAGAAAAACAGAGGGCGCACCAGCCTAGTGCATTACCTTAAAAACATATATTTAATAAATGATAAAAGTAGGTATTGTACTTACAAAATGACAATACAGTCAAAGGTACATCCTGAAAGAACAGCTCTTGTCCAATCCGCACTACGTGTCTGTCTGTAATGGGACCTCTGGACCTCCAGCTAATGCGTTTCGAGGACTTGCCTCTTCCTCAGAGCCAACTCAGAGTGCGCCCTTTGTTTGTTTTTCTCTACTCAGACCAAGAAAATTGCAGTCACGCCTGACAGAAGAATTGTTCGGGATACAAAGAAAAACCCATAGGTAATCTCAGGAGAAATACAGCCTGCTCTGGAAAAAGACAGTGTGGTTGTTTCAACCCTAAGAACACAATACGACGGATACTTGAACACAAATTGGCTGCATGGTTGAGTTGCCAGAAAGAAGCCTTTACTGTGTCAATCCCACAAGAAAGCCCAGTGAGGCATGTCAAGGTGTTGTGAGGCATGTTGTAGCTGGGCTTTTTTGAGGCAGTAGCACAAATACACTGCTCACCAAGTCTGTGTAGTAGTTATTCCCGAACAAGGGCGGACTGACCATTTGAGTACTCAGGCAATGCCTGAGGGCCCAGGGTCAGTAGGGGGCCCCATGAGATGCCCTTGGTACCTTTCATTGTCTTTTTCATAGGCTTTTTTGGGTGTGGGCAAGGACACAGGGGCCCCATGATCCCCTATTGCTCGGGGGCCCCATGAGTTGTCAGTCCGCCCCTGCTCCCGAACTGGGTACCCTCGTTAAGCCCCACTAACAGGCTGATGAGTTCAGTTCTCTGCAATTCTGCTCTTTCCTTCTATCAGCAAGCTACTTGTGTTGCAGCATGCTTGATTGACTCCTTGTACAGTTTTTTTCTCCAGCCACTCTTCTGATTTACTTGGAGTCTACACAAGGTTTACACTGATGTCTCCAATATGAGGGTGAAAAAGTCTAATGGGATCAAGAAAACTTTCAAAAAAGCCTGTTACTTTGTGCCCGAATGGGCAAAACAACATGTAAGTGACCTGTTAAGTACTAGGAAACCAGCCTGCCATCTTGGCTGCTTTGGTTCTCAAGGCCTAAGGCCCACAATACATATGCCTGAGGATCTCTTGTAATAAAGGATCTACAGCTGTTGCTTTTTTAATGCTTTACATGAACCACAACAAGTTGTCCCATAACACAGCACAATGCCTCCTCTCCAGCACTTCACACAACTTCGAGAAATATAGGTTTCACACAGTCTTTTCATAGTACCAAGTTTCTTTAACTACAATCATGAATTGAGGTCCCTTGAAATAGGTGCGTGCCAAGACCTGCCCTGGAGGGGCTTCTTCCCCACTTTCTCTGAGACTCCACCCCAAGCAGACATTAGGGTTGATTTATTAAAACTAGAGAGTGCAAAATTTGATGTATTTCTGCATAGAAACCAATCATCTTCCAGGTTTTTTGTTAAAGCTTAAGTGAACAAGCTAAAGTTAGAAGCTGATTGGCTACAATGCACAGTTGCACCAGATCTTGCACTCTCCAGTTTTAGTAAATCAACCCCTATATATAGATAACAGGGTGACCCACCCCTCCATGACACACCCCTAGGCTGGACTTTGTAGAGGCATAACAAACAGATGCTCTTCAAGGTGGTCACTTCTTCCTGCCATGCATCAGCTTCCCAGGACATAGGTTGGAGACAGGTGAAATGTGTTCTATTGGGGATTACAGGGTTACATATCGGAGCGGAGGGTTAGTTGCACATCAGGAGACAAAGAAGTGTGTACCAGAAAATGAACTTGCCAAATCCATCAGCATTATGATACATTGCATGGCACCCAAAAGCAAACATTTATTATATTGCAGCTTACCATTTGTTAGATGTGATGGCTGCATTTTTTTTCTTTTTTAGGCATTCCTTCTTCTATTTTCATTTGGTGATCCAGCAAGTAAGTCTGATTTTATCAAAAGAACAAGCTCTTGAAGAGAATGTAGCAATTACAGAGTTGAGACAAACCATTTAACACTAGCAGGGGTGCTTACAATGCTCAGCTTTTAGTGAAAAAAAAAACAGTTTTCCGCAATTGCTTGAGGGCAGGGCCCCCTTCGTCCGTGCACAAGGGGGTAACACTTCTCGCGTACATGTTCACCATTGCCCGAGACCAGGCGGGGTTGTGTTCATGTGGAAATCGACATTAAGGTGATACTCCGACTTAGAAATGAGCCATACACTGTGTGCAGTTGTGTGAGATACAGAGTCCCATGTGACTACACACCTTTACCGCATGAATGTTGCATTTAGGAGTGACACCGCAGAGCCTGGGCCCTCTCCACCAGTCCAGCATATCTCTGCCACCTCACAGTGGCAGAATGGGGTCCTCCTGTGCACTAGCG